TAATAACAAAATTCTGGTGTTTTTACTTTAACAATCTTGTTTTCCTCCTCTTTTAAAATACTATAGGCTATAGCGCCCCCTACTACCAACATTTCATAAAGCAGTCCTAGTAAAGTTCTTCAACAATATAATAAATTCATACAAGCGCTTTTAATATAAAACAGAACAGAAGATTGTATTTTTTTTGGTATGAATTTGAAATGTACCACTACAATTATTTAATACTGTCTTTAATAAAAGGAAAAGAAAAAGAATACATTAATTTTTAACTGACTTTCCAAGATGCAGAAACAAATGTATATTTAACAGGTTTACATACAAGATCCAATAATTTTATAACAGGACAGGAGGCTTCGTATTTTGCATAATCGTTCTTTACTAAAACTCCAGCAGCACAGGTTTAACAATAAAGTTTAGTGAAAAAAAACATTGCTATAGGGTATAAAAGGCCCTTCCTCTTGCATCATATTAAATTAAAGACTAGGATTAAGGAACACTATAGTGTCAGGAATACAAATGTGTATTCCTGACACTACAGTGTTAAAATCTCATTTTAGGAGGCCGGGCCAAAATTGCCCTGTTGAAAAAGTAAAAACACTTTTATTTTAGCAACAGTCTGCCAGCGGATTTCACCGCCCCTACCTCCCCTTCTTGGCTGGGGTCATAGAAATTGACGATCTCAGCCAACCCAATGCTTTCCCATGGAAAAACATTGGGAGGCTATTGCGCACGCTTGGCAAAACACTCAGAAATTCCTCATAAAAATGTATTGAATCAATGCATCTTTATGGGGAACGTTAAGCGCCTCCATACAGTGTGTGGAGATACTGACTGTAGATGCTGCACATTTTTAAGCACTGACACAGGAAGCACCTCTAGCTGCCGCCTGAGTGACTGCCACTGGAGGGGTCCCTAGTCAGTAATGTAAACACTGCCTTTTCTCTTTACATGAAAATGCCTGCAGGACCATGCTATACTCACTAAAATAACTACATAAGCTGTAGTTCTTCTGGTGACTATGCTGTCCCTTTAAGGAAAATATCTGAAAAGAATATGTGTCTGTGTGTGTCTACTTTGGGAGAATCCTCATTTATTTTTTTCATTCGATCTTATATCACAATAGGGATAATAATTAAAGGCAATATAACAGCCACTGGAACTTATTAATGCGGATATGGTGCAACAAGTCTTGTGAAAGAAGTCCCTCAAATATTCCAGTGGTTTAACAAAAATGAGCTTCTGTCAGTACTCAATGACTGCCCTTCTGCTGCACAAAAGATATCATAGTAGTTTTAATTCCACATTATCAATAGAGAATAATGAGCGACTCCTTGCATTAAAATTGTAATGATGTTTAAAATGTCCATTTAATGGTATTAATAATAGTTTACTATTGAACTGTTAACCCTTTCTGCTTAAACTAGAGCAGCCTATAATATAGGACCCGCAGTGTGATCACAAACTATTGTATGCGATGTGAAGATAGCCCCCCTCCCTCTGTGCTAATCTAGCGCAAGAAGATCACATGTTTAGGGTGCAATATAATCTAAAATAGGACCGCGAGACCAGCTGCCATGGCATAGCAAGACCAGATGTCATGGCATAGCGATAGAAAACACATCATAACACATAACATCTTAAAACACAGACTACATTTGCAAGAAATGTTTAGAGAAAACATTGAGATCTGAAATTGATATCTAAAATGTGTTAGATATAAAACATGCAAGGTTGGAGCAACTAATTACTATTTAATAATTGTTTATTTCATTTGTCTCAAAGTTAATGCACAAGATGAATTTCTTTACATCATCATTGCAGGAGATTAAAAAAAAAAGTCCTTATTAACTATATATATTTCCCAATCTTTGAGAGTTAATATCTGTTTAATACCCATTTGACGGAGTATTGGAAATGTAATAAAATGTTCTGCAATGACATCTAGTGGTCAATAATGAACTGTTCAGCTGTGTATCTAAAACTATTATTTTCGTGTTTTAAACCCACCCCAATCAATTAATTCAAAATATTAAAAAATACTGATTTGTTTGCTTTCTTTTTTTTATGTAGCAAACACATTTCTATGACATAGAAAATACTATTAAGGTGCTGTATGTCTAGAGCAGGGGTAGCGAACCTTTGGCACTGCAGATGTTATGGGAGATGTAGTCCACAACATCTGGAGTGCCAAAGATTGCATACCTCTGATCTAGAGCTTATTATAGCCAGATATATATGGCAAGCAGGGAAGAGGTAACATGTACAAGGTCCAAACAGATGTGGAGATAGTAGTAACATTATGAGAGATATGGGGATATGTGGGGGCAGTCAAGCCTTGAATTAGACAGTCTTGAGTGAATAATGAATTTGCTTGGCCCCACTTGCCATCTCTATATAAAAAAAAAAGTGGGTGGGGCAGCCTAGGGTCCCATGCACTGGCGTACATACCGCGGTCGCAGCCACGAACGGGCCCGGCCCTCCGCATTTTGTCAGGCCTTTCTCCTGGGGGGGGGGGCCCAGGAGCTGGCCACCTCAGGACCCCCTGAGGCTGGCAATGGCATCACTTTGCGGGCGGGTGCGCGAAGGAGCATTCTCCCCTGAGCTCTGTCTACCCAGCTCCCTAACGTGCACCGCAGTGATGGCGGAGCCGGAATATGACGTCACTCCGGCTCCGGCATCAGTACGCGGCGCGCGAGGGAGCTGAACAGGTGGATCAATGCTCACTCGCTGCCTGCAGTGACCGGCCGCCCAGCAGCCCCACTGGACCCCAGGGAAAGCTGGAATCCCTTCAGCACTCCCAAAGGTAGGGAGGCTGGGGGATTAAAATAAAAAACAAAAGTGAGTGTGTATGTGTGTCAGTGAGTGTTACCGTGTGTGTGTCTGTTACTGAGTGTGTTAGTTTGTGTGTGTCTGTTAGTGTGTGTCTGTTATTGAGTGTGTGTCTGTAATGTGTCAGTGATTGTGTTAGTTTTTGTGTCAGTGAGTGTGTAGTGTGTTACCGTGTGTGTGTCTGTTACTGAGTGTGTTAGTTGTGTGTTAGTTGTGTCTGTTAGTTTGTGTCTGTTATTGAGTCTGTTTTGTGTCTGTTTGCCAGTGAGAGTGTATGTTTTTTAAGTGAGTGTGTATGTGTGTCTGTTAGCTAGTGTGTATGCGTCTGTTCGTGAGAGTGTGTGTGTGTCTGTTAGTAAGTGTGTATGCTTGTCTGTTAGTGAGTATGTGTTTCTTAGTGAGAGTGTATATGGGTCTGTCACTATGAGTGTGTGTGCCTGTATGTGGGTCTGTATGTGTATCTTTTGGTCTGCATGGGTATCTCTTTGTCTGTATGTGTATCTGAATGTTTGTCATTAAAGGACCACTATAGTGCCAGGAAAACAAACTCGTTTTCCTGGCACTATATAGTCCTTAAATCCCCCCACCCTTGTGGCCCCCCTCCTGCTGGGCTGAAGGGGTTAAAACTCTCCACCCTGCTTCACCTCTCAGCTCCGAATGTGCATGCGCAGCAAGAGCTGCGCACGCATTCAAATCGCACATAGGAAAGCATTACTCAATGACGTCCAGTGTCTTCTCACTGTCAGTGAGGAAGCTACTAGAGGCTGGATTAACCTGCAGTGAAACATAGCAGTTTCACTTCATTGAGCTGAAGTGGTCTGGGTGCCTATAGTGGTCCTTTAAGTGTATGTGTATCTGCATGCACTGGCGTACATACCGCGGTCACAGGGGTTGAATCCCTGCGACTAGGTGCCTGCCGCCATGTGTTGCGGTCCGGCCCATGCAGTGTAAGCGCCGGGGGAGGGGGGCCCACGGATCAGTTTTCACACCGGGGCCCCATGGATCGTGTGTACGCCACTGGTCCCATGGTATCTTAATCCTTTTCTGCTCTGGCTACTGTTTGAAATACACCAACCGTCTCCAGATATTGACACACATAAAAGAGTGTTCGAAATATACAATTAAATGGGTACTCTGCAGTGGTTATACTGCCAGGAGAGCAAAGATTCCAGCCCATTAAGAAGTGTCAAACTATTTTAGATCGTCTGACACTAGATTTACCACTTCACAAACTGTGCTGTAGTTGTTATGGTGCTTTGACTGATTTTTTCATGAAAAAAACACTAAAATATGTACCTGTCTGTTGAAAATATGCACTGAGTCTGTGAATAATTTTCTTTATTCATTTACATTAGTGCATGACAATAGAACTATATAAACAGCAAGCCAAATAATATATTTACAAAAACTACTTGCAAACAGAGGCTAGATAAAACTTGCTAAAAATAAATTTTTATACCAATCTTCACAAAACATGATTTGCTTAAAATAGTTAAAAGCATTATATAGCAACCACTATTCATTAGGAACTCTATGTTTTGTCCAAATGGTATCAAATTCCTATTTGGCATTTCAAAACAAAAAAAGAAAAGATCTTTCTACAAATAACTTACTGAACAAAAATAGGATTTCATACTCTTCCACTAAGAAAAATATGTTAGAATTCACAGACGGTGCCCCTAGCGTACATCTAAGCCAACAATATGTATACAAATCATGGTAAAATAAAAAGTAACAAAAATTTACACTATACACAATATATGTGGTAGTTCCACTGCTGTGTAGGCCCATGTGTGAATGCAGGTGTGTGTAGTCAATCACACATAGTGAAATACACACAGTGGCGTACCTACCACGATATATATTCGCAATGCTCTTACAACAGATGTTGGAATTAGTGTAGGATCCACCAATATTGGGGTACTGTAAAGTAGTGATGGGCACAATATGGCCACGTGGTGATTTTAAGTAGTCTTTGAAAATTTACAAATGTATTTTTATGTGTGTACTGTTCATAAATCTGTATTATATACATTGTATTAATTATGGCAGCAGCATTTCTGCAAAATGCATGTCATGGGTGTACCCCCGCTGTCCATTTAGCTCCTGCCCACCTTCCTTATTTATGGCTGGTAATTCTGCCACTGAGGGAAATCTGACAGAACACCAGCCCTGCGTATGTGACCAATGTCGGCCTCCTGGCGCCTCCAGCTGCTATGGCGCCCTATCACAGCTTGCACACCTGTAGACCAGCCCTGGCAAGGGGCTTTATACACACGTTGTCCTCTCCAGCAGGGACATGTTTTTCCTTTGAGGTAAAGAAAGGGTGGAAGGGGAGTGCACTCATACATAGATTGTCATGATCTTAATACAATCACTGTCAAGAATGCCTACCCCATCACTCACATAACTGAGCTGTTTGTCAGGATTACAGGATCTAAGATTTTTACCAAACCAGATTGTGACAAACGTCCCTTCGCATGTGAGTCTGCCACTAGCTCCTGGAGGAGCCTGCTTGTCAGCCTCCTACCCACAGACTATGGGCCCTGCAGGGAAACCTGTAAAAGACTGCCGAACTTGACCAACCGTCAGCACTGATTTCATGGAACTGTTTTGGGCATAGGACCATGTGCACGGTAGGTCAAAATTATGACTTCCATGAAAATTCCAAAACCCCGAACTGGGTGATTTTTGGATATGTTGGTCACCCAGATTGGGGCTATCAGGGAATGTAATATTTGTGGGGGGTTTAAGTGTTTTAAAGGTAGTTTGGGTTTTTTGTAATATTGTATGTTTTTCTGTGCCTGGAGATAGCTGAGTAAGTTCAGTTCCTGACTCAATTATCTCTCAGACACAGAGGAAGAGTTTGTAACTTGTAATTAGTCCTCTCTCAGGTCCAGGAGAGGGATTATCCTGTTTGTGTGGGAGTGTCAAGGGCATGCTTAACTGTATCTGAAATACATCCCAAAGATGCTCAAACAGATTAAGATCTGGAGAACCATTCCTGAACAACTTTGCAGTGTGGTAGAGTGCATTATCCTGCTGAAAGATGGCCACTGCCATCAGGGAACACCATTGCCATAAAGGGGTGTACGTGATGTGCAACAATCTCTATCTAGCAAAGGTGGTACGTGTCAAAGTAACATACATATGAATGCCATGACCCAAAATCAGTTCCCATTGAAGGCGCTTTGGGCGATGGACAGAGATCATCATGGGCACTCTAATTGGCCTGTGGCTATGCAGACCGATACGCAGCAAACTTAGATACACTATGTGTTTTGTTTTTCAGCAATTTGAGCTACAGCAGCTCTATTGTGTAGTCAGTCAGGCTAGCCTTCGCTCCCCACATGAATCAACAAGCCTTGGGCATCCATAACCCTGACACCAGTCACTGGTTGTCCTTCCTTGCACCATGTTTGGTAGGTACTAACCACTGCATATCAGGGACATCCCACAGGTTAATAACAGTAATTAAATAAAATCTAAATGTGCTATTGGGTCAAGGAGAAACCACAACAGGGCACCGTTCACTTGAAATTGTGACGTTTTATAGGCTGGGGGCGTGATTGCCATAACAAAGTCCCCAAACCATCATGAGACAGTGGCTAGGCCTAATTCTAGGCCTACAGCTACCTACAGTTGACAAGCAAGGCTTGATCTTATTGTTCCTTTGGGATTATTGAGGTTTGGGTTTTTAGTATCTCGGTATCTTTATGTCTTTTAGAAATTTATTAAATAGTTTTGTTGAGTAACTCTACAAACTCTCCATCCTCTCCACTTTATCTGATTAAAGACTTGCATAAGCAAACACATTTCTATATCGACATCCTCATTTTTAGGACCTCCTTCACTCCAACATAGCTGCCATGTCCACTTCAACTTTAGTCCATGTCACTGCTCTTATTTTCACTCACATTTGCTCCCCGTTGAGTTGGTGTATCATGCCTGGGAAGTGACACTTTTTAGTTGATAGAAAAAACATTTTACAATACTGCATTTCCCTAACCCCCTTCTCCCTGCCAATATTTTTTCATGATTTCAATAAACTATTAAATATGTTTTGCCGAGTGGTTCTTGATAGCACCTCATTTGAGGCTGTGCTCCAAGACCAGTTTACAGAGGTAGAAAAGTGGATCGCAAAAAACAAACTCTTCCTGAACACTGACAAAACTGTCACAATGATCTTTGGAACAGTACCTAAATTACACAAATTACACAATTGCCACCTATCCATCAAAACAAATTCAAATGGCACACCGACCACAGTCCACTCTTTCAAATACTTGGGTATGATGTTAGACCCCAATCTATCTTTTGGCCTGCACATAGAAAAGCTTGCATCTAAACTTTATCCAAAACTAGGTGCCCTATACAGAAACAAATCCTGCCTAAGCCCTACAGTAAAGGAAAAGATTGTACTGCAAATGCTGATGCCAATCATTGATTATGGGGGTGTAGTATATGCATCTGCATCGCAATCCCACATTAATAAACTCAACACATTGTATAACTCGTTCTGCCAATTTGTGCTACAATGTAATTACAGGACTCACCATTGTGACATGCTAAAAGAACTAAACTGGCTGTCGCTGGAATCCAGACCCACCCTTCATCTTTCCAGCCTTGTGTTTAAGAGCTTTTCTGGGAAACTGCCACCCTACCTGAACACAATGCTTTCATCGGCTATTCACACTTCTTATAACCTCAGATCCAGTACCAACACTTTACTTAGTCTACCTCAACACAAAAAGAAAAAAGCAGCCCGATCCTCCTCCTCCTACAGAGCACCGCAATTGTAGAACGACCTCCCGCACAATTTAAAATCTTCCCTAAGCCTAAAGTCCTTTAAGAGATCCCTCTCTACATACCTCAAAACAGAATGCACCTGTCATGGTTGATTATATATTTCCTGCCTGTTCTATGTTAAATTTTGTATTTATTGTGTATTAATATTGTTTTTGTATTTTATTGTACCCTAATTGTAACAATGCAATAATTTGTGGACCCAGGACATACTTGAAAACGAGAGAAATCTCAATGTATCTTTCCTGGTAAAATATTTTATAAATAAATTTGCCTCCTGAGCTCCAAATATAACTCTGAGTAATTGTTCAGCATACAGCACGTCTTTTAGTAAGAACTTATGATGGACCATTCCCCCATTCCAAAACTACCAACAAATTTGAACTGCTCTCATATTAGCTTTAGAAAGTGGGAACTTACAAGAGCATGGCTACATTATTTTCCACTTTTGATAATTTATTTTATTTTGATTGTTCATGTGAGGCTCTTGAGATCTGCATTTCACTGTCAAGCTCTTTTCCTTCTATATTGTCATTTTATCAAACATTAGGCGTTTGGTGAGCTTTTGGGCTAGAATGTCCCTGACCTTTCATTAACAACTTTTCAAAAAGTCATACTGCCTTGGGGATTTGCTGCATTTCAACTTCATCATGTTTGTTTTAAAAACTGAAGCATATAGGCCTATGAGGATGACTGTAAGGGTGTTACACCAAGGGGAAAAAAACACATTTATTTACAAATCATTTGATACCCTCGGCTGCAAGCTCATAATCCTAAAATTGATTGGCACACATTCCAAATTACAGCCTGGTATCCAGCATGTAAAAGCCTTGTGCTAAAGTTTTATTTGTCCTTAGTGTACTACTTTGTTACTACATTTGCTGACTTAATCTTAGGTCTTAATATCTTAGGTTTATGTGGCTTTTTTTCAGTATTTCTTTGCCAAGAAAATAAAAAAATTAACTGCACTCCTGCAGACCATACAATTGCCCTATAGAACGTCTCATTGATATCTGCCACCTAGAGGAAACATATATACTATCAGTGGTAGGGAATGTAGCTACGAAGGCTAAGGATATGATTCTTTATGAACATCTTATTTCTGGCTGGACCAGTATATTTATTTGTTACAAAAAAGGTGATTTAATACTGTGTATAGATTACTGGACTTGAACAAAATAACTATTAAAAAGACCTATCTAATACCTCTCATATCTGAACTATTTAATAGGTGAAAAGGTTCCAAAGTATTTTCTAAATGTAATCTGCGTTTGGCATTTTGTTTTGTAAGAATAACAAAATGCCAAATCTATTTATCAATCTATCTATTATCTCAGATAGAATTTACAATTCCAACTTAAAAAAAGGAAGAAAAAAAAAGCAGAAAACAGGAGGGAAAAATTGTCTAAACCATTTATAATTGATAATCATTTTCATATGTGAAATTTATACAATTGTTATTTTTCAATCATTCATCATCAAATACAGACATTTTTGGGGAATTAAATGCTTTTAAATGAATAGAGTATAAAGGCCTTGATATAATATTACTGGATCAGTTTTTCAACCAATTTTATGTTTTTGTATAAGCCTTTAAAATGATTTATTTACAAAAATTCCCCAAATTTCTAATATTCAGTTGTGTCTTTTGTAGATATATTATTTTAACCCCTTAAGGACACATGACATGTGTTACATGTCATGATTGCCTTTTATTCCAGAAGTTTGGTCCTTAAGGGGTTAAAAGTGATAAAACGGGGGGGGCGTGGCTGACTGCGAGACTGTACAGACGTGTCTCTGTGGAGCTCTGTCCGAGCAGGGAGGAATAGACGGTTTTCACTCGTTGCTACACCCTAGACAACAACCTAAAATATTGCCCCCACCACGTGACAACAAAAATAAGAAGTTCCGGGTGCCTGAGAGTCCTAAATTTCGTGATATTCGACTATTCTTCAAGAGACACACGCCACGAGAAACACCTAAGAGTGCGCCTGACGCCGAACCCTTAGCGGAAAACTCGGAGCAGTCCCAGGAGGCAGAATCACCTGTTTCTCCCCACCACAGCTAAGCAGACCAGGACCCTGAGTCTGAGGAAGACTCAACACCCTCCACAAAAGGAGATATAAAGAGGCTACTCCTGGATCTCTGCAAAGTGTTGAAGACAGATCTCCAGGAGACCCAAAAAGAGATGGGCATCGTGACCCAGAAGATTAAAAAGGTAGAAGAGAGGGATAAAGCAAAAGAGGACAGGCTTACACAGCAAGTCCAACAAATGCAAAGAGCTATGGCTTCCCCAACTAAGAGGGGTCCCAAAGAAGGGCAGTGGGGAGGAACTACTGCCCTACACCCAGAGGCTGTTCATATCTATGGGCCTTAAGGGGGGAGAAGATCCATACATGCTGCGATCGGCATTCCGGATCCAAAAGGCCGGCACAGACCTAGCTGACACACAGAGAGATATCATAGTAGTAACCAGAGACATAGCGGTTCGTTCTGCAATTATGGCTCGATCAAGGGCAATGGGAAGTGTCAAGTTTGAAAATACTGAGCTAACACTGTATGGTGATATACCCTTTGCAGTTCTGGCAGAAAAGTGCAAGCTGCCCGTCGCTAGGATACTGAGGGACTGATCAATCCGATACAGATGGGGCACAGATGGATCCTTGCTGGTCCCACAAGGAGACAAGACCTTCTCCCTTACATCAAGATCCAGAGACACTATAGGAAAACATGCAACTCCCAACCCCGAATCTGCCTGTGCCAACTACTCTGAAGCATACCATAGTGGCCAGGGGAGACCCAGAAGTAGGCAGTTCAGGGGCATGGCCTAGACCACAAGCACCCAGGAGAACATGACCGGGACGAGGGGGTAATTAATTGTGACCACATCAGGGATGTATTTACCTCAAGCAGCACTTTCGGGGGGATGGGGGGGGGGGCGCCAAAAAATGTCATCCCAAGCTCCCAGACAAATGCCTCGTGTTCTGTGGCTGTCCACCTTACTGTGAGTGAGTATAGCTGTCAGTGTGTGTCTGTGAGTGAGAATGGGTGTGCCTGTGAGTGTGTGTATGTCATTTTATGTTTATCTAAGAATGTGTGCCTGTCAGTGAGTGGGTGTGTCAGTGTGTGTCTGTCAGTGAAAGTGTGTGTTGGTTAAACAGTGTGTGCCAACGACTGTATGTGTGTGCCAATGACTGTGTATCTGTCAGTGAGTGTATATCAGTGCATGTATCAGTGAGGGCATGTGTGTCAGTCAAAAAAATGGCATTGACATGAATTGGAGGTGGAGGGGGCAAATTTAGATTTTGGGGGTTCCGGAATTTAGTCGTGCCTAGGGCAGCACAAATCCAAAATACACCACTGGACCACATAAGAGTGTCCTCACCACTACTAGTCTCGATATACCCCTGTTAGCTTCCATAGCTCGGCTGCTTCATATGGACACATGGAGGTGAGCTTTTTAACCCCTCAAGGACACATGAAATGTGTGACATGTCATGATTCCATTTTATTCCAGAAGTTTGGTCATTAAGGGGTTAATTTAAAACACTTCTTAATCTTAATAAAACTTGCTTTTATGTTGTATTGTATTAATGTTGTGTATACACTATAGATGATTAATTCATAGTAATTGTTATTAATTATCACCAATTTGCACTTAAAGTATACTGGTAGTTCCCGTCTTTACGAACTAATTGGTTCCGAAGCCTAGTTCATAAAGTGAGAGTTCATAAAGTGAGAACTAATTTCCCATAGACCGCAATGTAATAAACATGGGTTCCATTCCTGACCAACAAATGTTTCCATTGAAAACCTTAATTATGAAATACAAATACAAGATGAAAGCATAGCAAATACATATATGGTGTAAGAACATTAAAAGAAGACATACCATATTGAAATATTCATCAGTTATCTTCCTCCTCAACCACATGTTGCACTTGTTGAATGTAGCACTGCACTTGTTTCTGGTTCGTTTAAGACGCTCAATGTGTCTCATTCACCCACCATCCCCTCCAGGTGTCTCATTAACCCCTCCCAGCCTTTCCAGGTGTCTCATTCCCCTCCCAGTGGCTCATTTACCCTCCTAGTGTCTTATTACCCCATCCAAGTGTCTTATTACTCCCTCCAAGGCCTTCCAGGTGTCTGCTTCCCCCTCTCAGTGTCTCATTGGCCCCTCCCAGCCCCACACAAGCCTCTCCATGTGTCTTATTCCCCCCTCCCAGCCCCATCCATGTGTCCCATTTCCCCTCCTAGCCAAATCCATGTGTCCCATTCCCCCCTTTCCCTCCCTGTCCATGTGTCTATCCTTCCTCCCCTATTGTACCTATCAATGTGTCTCTCCTCCTTCCCTCCTGTACCTGCCCATTTGTCTCTCCCCCCTTCCTTCCTTCCTATACCTGCCAATGAGTCTCTCCCCTTTCCCTCCTGTACCTGCCCATTTGTCTCTCCCCCTTCCTTCCTATACCTGGCAATGTGCCTCTCCCCCCTCCCCTTCTGTACTTGTCCATGTGCCTCTCATCCATCCCCTCCTTTCCGATGTATCTCCCCCCTCCCGTCCTGTACCTGATCACCATGGTACAGTACCCGGTTTGCCAGGAAGTGCTCTCTCAGTGAGCACTTACTGACAGACTGTAGTCCGCTCAGCCACACTACAACAGCGGCAGGAGGGGAACAGCTCAGCACAGCACTCCCCTCCTACCGATCACCATCATTGTTACTCACCCCTCTCTGCTCCTGGCCACAAACTCTGCTCCTCGGTCTGCATCCATGGAGCGCCACCGGCACAAAATGTCATCAAAATAAAATGGCGGCGGGTCCGTGGAGTGTTCGTAAAGGCGGGAGTACGTAAAGCGGGAAATGCATTTATACACACTGTGTTGTTAGCTTGATAAAGACCTCATAGTAGGTCGAAACGTTGCTGTTTTATCACTTTTTTAAAGCTAATAAACCTGCCTATAGTTTGAACACCTTGAGTGCCTGGAGATTCTTTTCCTGTTTGCCATTTATTTGGGTTGTCCTTGTAGCAGCTATACTCTCTGTGATATATATTGTTACATCACTGTGTAGGTCTTATGAAATCTTGGTTATTGATATGAATTTACAGCACAAGACAGAGTATTCACTAAGTCAGTGCCAAAGGGATTTCTCGTTTGAGAGAGAGTTTGGCGACTCTGTGCTATTGATCTCTTTTATTAATTTATTGGAATTTATCCAAACCAACTATGTAAGTTTATCAAACATTTTATCATTTATTTAACATACACAATGCTGTCTCTTACTATTTTATTATCCCTGTATATGTTTTTGCATTGATGTGGCACTGCATTTCTAATCACCTCTGAGATGCTCTACCTTGATTTTTATATTTTTGGATAAGCTTCTCAAGTGATTTAATATTTTTGGATGAACTTTTTAAATGATTTTCAAATATATCAAACAAAAAATCTAAACATGACAATTTTAAAAGTTTATGCAAAAATACAAGATTACAAACACAAAGATAAAGCACCGCGCTTACAGCAGCAGTATCTTAGTATCCAACAGCTTAAAATACATAGTAAAAACAAAGAGAACGTTACCTGCGCTCTGGCCTAAATCCCCATGTACATTTAAACAAACTGGAGGCTCTTTAGTTTTATTCCAATGGCCATTTGAATATATAAGCTCACCTGCCACGTCAAGGCAAGCCTCAATAGGCGAGTTCCTACACTAGCCATTAGATATGCTGATATCAGCCAAGAATGTCCAATGAGACAGGAAGGGGTATTTTATAAACCCTTTCACATTTAACCCTTTATAGGGCTTTCAAACATACAATAAACTTTGCTGGTATCAGACAATGTGAAAACTTCTCTAATGAGACATGAAGGGGTGTTTTATAAACCCCTACATACTTAACCCTGAATAGGGCTATAACACATACATATCACCTTGCTGGTATCAGCTAAAAGGCAAATTTCTCTGATGAGACAGGAAGCCCCTACATACATATAAACTCTTAATAAGACAAACGTGGGGAGGCTGGCAGCAATGTAACATAGCTGTGTGATACAAACATCATACACAAACACAAAGATAAAGCACCGCGCTTACAGCAGCAGTAGCTTAGTATCCAACAGCCTAAAATACATAGTAAAAACAAAGAGAACGTTACCTGCGCTCTGGCCTAAATCCCCATGTACATTTAAACAAAATGGAGGCTCTTTAGTTTTATTCCAATGGCCATTTTGAATATATAAGCTCACCTGCCACAAATACAAGATTATTTGAAAAGCTTAGCCAAAAAATGTGTAAATAACATAAATGGAGCAGTCTAGTAGAACCAGATACTTTTAAGTTACTCTTAAAGCATGAGAGCTTCTATGAACATGGATGGTTTGGCATCAAATATGTAAATAGTGAGATTTACTTCAGATAGGTGTGGAATTTATGTGTAATGCAATTGTATTTTCAGTACAGCATTATCATTTAAAAGGACTGATACATCGTCCCAAGTATAACATTTTCATCAATAGTGTCTACAGCAGGTAGTTGTTTGACTAACATTGCTTTTTCCTTCTTTCATATGAAGGTTCATTGTGGAGATCCTAACTGCTTCTTAGCAGACCTCTCCTCAGCCAACTCTGTTTATGTGAAAAAATTCAAAAGAAAGAAAAAAAGAGTTGGCAAGAAAGCTGTATGCTTACTATAATCGCACCATTTTCAATGACCAGGTGTGTTGTTTTGTTTTTTCTTTTGGAAATTTACCAACTAGGTGCATTAATTAGTATTAACCTACATTTACAAATGTATTAATTGTGTTCTATATGCTGTGAAAAAAAGCACTTATAGAACGTGTTGGCTGGTTCTGAACAAAAATACCAGGCATTGTACTGACCAAGTATGATCATTTTTGTTTCAGCTTCCTGATGACCTAGAAATTCAATGGAATAAGAGGTTAACGAAAACTGCTGGTCTTTGTAAAAATGATGCCATTAATATACCTTATTCAGGATGCTACTCGGTTATACAACTGTCAGACAAAGTCTGTGACTCTGCAGGTAAGATACTTACTATATCATGCCATGTTGGTGGTGTTTTCTTTACTCTCTTCTACTTGACTGAATTATATTTTCTAACCTCCAGATCGTGTTCGGGATACATTGATCCATGAGGTCTGTCATGCGGCTGCATGGTTGATTAATAAAGTCCCCAACGGTCACGGCTTAATATGGAAATATTATGCCATGAAAGCTACAGCTCTCCACCCAGAGCTTCCAAAAATTACTCAGTACCACAATTATCAAATACACTATAAGTACATCTATCAATGCAGTGGCTGCAAAAGAACGTAAGTTGTTTGGTACATTTTTGTTTTATTTACATTATTACTACTTGCATTACTTACATTATTTAGCTTTGCTAATAAGGGAAACTCAAGGTATGCAGTAAAAGCTTTGTACAGTTTTTCAAAGAAGAGGAGCAATGCACAAGGCAGAGCACTGCTATATTATTCTCTACCTTTTTACTAGAGTACCTGAAATCTCACTTATAAACTTTCTGTAGATTATTAATATTAGCATTATATAGCACCAACATATTCTGCAGCGCTTTACCATTAAAGAAAGGGGATATTAGACAAGTAATTGACATAGAGAATATTAACAGGGACAAAAGGGGAAGAAAGCCCTGCTCAAACGAGCTTGCAGACTATGAGTATTCTAAGTCGGCAGATATATATGTATAACAATTAAAAGTATGTTGTGCAGAGAAAGTTTGATTAAACACCATGCCAATTTTGTATTATTGTAAAGTTTATGGTGTATAGAGTACCCTGTATCCATTTTCAGCTCTGAGTGTGGCTTATAACTGCAGCAACTTGTAAAGTAAACATGATTTATTTGTCTTCTGTCTTTCGCTGTAGGGTCGGTCGTCACTCAAAATCAGTAGATATACAGAATTCTTTTTGTAATGCATGCCTTCTGAAAATTGTCTTGCTGCAATCACCTTGAAGAGAAGGCTCTCCTTCCAGCACCAATATGCAAACTGTAGAATTTATTTGTGTGTTTTACCATGCAACCCCCAACCCCTTTAAAGTTACACACTATCATACATACACACACATATACATTCATTTTCAAAAACATTCATGTTTAGACATATTAAATTCAAATACACACATGCATTTATATACGCACACATACACATACACAGTTGCATACATAGATAAACATACTCAGACTCATACCCAAACAAACACGTGGGCACATATACACACACACAGAAACATAAACAAACACATATTCTTATATATATATATATATATATATATATATATATATATATACACGCACACAAAATAACACATGCACAGACTCGTATATAAACACACAGTCATATATGCAGACACATTTATATACACACAGACTCACACACATTCATGCATACACACATATGCACAGACAAACACATGCACAAACACAATCATATATGAAAACAGACTAATATACACATTCACAGACTCTCACACAAACATACAGCGAATCAATAATTATTATTATATTATGTTAAAGATAAATATTAAAATAAAATTGCCACCCCTTTAATAAAATAAACTACCCATCTCCTTAAATTATGGAGTAAACTTGAGATATCTTGGTGGGGAAGAATTAACTCTATAAGGGCTTATATCTTTCCCAAGTTTATTTATTTATTAAGGATGATTCCATTACCGATTCAACCTCATTGGCTAACAAACATTAATAGGACTTTTATAAATTATATTTGGCTTAATAAGAAGCCTAGAATAGGACAAGAACTCATGTATCTAAAATATAAACAAGGGGGAACAGGATTTCCTAATATTTTTTTGTATCATCAAGCTGCTCGGCTGTTGCATACAGTAACAACGATTATCAAGATACACACTCAGAGGAAAGGTACGAACTAGAGGGAAAGGATATTTCAGAACCATATATTATAGTTAAACTGATGTGGCCTATAAAAATCTATAAAAAGCCCGTAATAAATATAAGTCATGTCAAACAGATGACATAATATTAAATCCTCAGCTTAAATATTGGATTCATCTTAAAAAACAAATGGATTTGAAAGATAAAATTTTGCCGGCATTACCATTCAGGTACCTGGAGAAATGGATAGAAAATATAGACGTCAGTCAGTGGTCTAGATATGGTATTAAAAGAATTTCAGATCTATATGATGAAAATAATATTATGTCTTTTAATGATCTCTGTATTGTTTTCAATATCCCAACACTTTAATTATATAAGAATTTTAATTATATAAGAATAAAAAGTTTCTTACACAGAGTTGTACCTCGTTTGAAAGAGCACTCTCCAGTTTTTAAACTGAATAAATTGATAAATTCAGGAAAGAATACAAAGTTACTAACAAATAGCGTGGAGATAATGAATTTAATTAAAGTACAGATCCATCCTCTAGCTAAGACTAAGTGGGAAAGGGATTTGAAAATCAAAATTGGCCTAAGAGAATGGAACATGGCCCTTCAGTCGGTATACTCCACAGTGCATTGTTTAAACGTTATGGAGGCACATTATAAATTATTAAATAGATGGTATATGACACCGGCAAAGATAAGAAAGTTTTCGAATTCAGAAAGTCTGAGGTGTTGGAGATGTGATGCAGAAGAAGCAGATTTATTTCGCTCTAGGATTTATAGTTTTTAAAACTACGAACGTTTGAAGATGGCAACCACCAGTGAAGTGAGCAATTTGGAGCAGTTTGTTTTTAACTGCGCTTCTCTGCCCTTGCTGTAGAGTGAGTTGCCATAGGAACCCAGGTGTGTGAGCAGCCAGCAGAGCCACTCCAAATAGTTACTTTACTCACTCCAAACACTCCACACAGTTACTCTGCCCACTCCATAAAGTTACTCTGCCCAGTCCAACCTTTCCACAGTTACCCCCCGTGCTGGACCCACATACAAGTCACTCCCCAATCACCACATATAACATGTACCCCACACCCAGTCTATGTACACATAGTTATCCGGGCACTTACCGGCAGCAGCGGAGATCGGACCCACAGCTGCATGCGCGCCCCCGCCCTCTCCTCCTTACTTCTGCCGTGCGTGCCCTCTTCGCACTATAACTGTGAGCGCGCTCCAGGCCCGCTCTCACCAGTTTCCCAGTGTGCGCTCCAGGCCCGCTCTCACCAGTCTCCCAGTGTGCGCTCTCAGACCGCTCACACCAATCTCCCAGTGCGCGCTCTCGGCCCGCTCTCACCATTCCTCCAGCTGGGCACTCTTCACACTGTCCACTTCCTATTTCCTCACACTGGTCACCTTTCTCCCCCGGCCGGGTGGCGGTCTCAGTGTGAGTGAGTGCTCCCACAATAATAGTGACTGACTGTGCAAAGTGTAACATTGACTCACTGCTACATTTACATATTAGGAAAACAAATCACATGAGCTCCAATGCAGCCAAATGTTATTGAAAGAGCACTCTCCAGTTTTTAAACTGAATAAATTGATAAATTCGGGAAAGAATACAAAGTTACTAACAAATTGCGTGGAGATAATGAATTTAATTAAAGTACAGATCCATCCTCTAGCTAAGACTAAGTGGGAAAGGGATTTGAAAATCAAAATTGGCCTAAGAGAATGGAACATGGCCCTTCAGTCGGTATACTCCACAGTGCATTGTTTAAACGTTATGGAAGCACATTATAAATTATTAAATAGATGGTATATGACACCGGCAAAGATAAGAAAGTTTTCAATTTCAGAAAGTCTGAGGTGTTGGAGATGTGATGCAGAAGAAGCACATGAAATGCATATATGGTGGAATTGCAAACCGCTTAAGAGAGCATGGGATTGTTTCTTAGCTGAAATTAATAAAATATTAGGCATTACACAAAAATGGGCTCCAGAAATGGTACTGTTACATTTAGAACTACCACAATTAGCGAAAGGTGAAAAAGGTTTCTTAATTCACGCATTGATGGCTTTTAAAGTGTCTATTGCCAGGAATTGGAAAAAGATGACAATAGATTCTTGGCAACAATGTAAAGAAGCTATTATTCATCAATGTAAAATGGAAAGATGAATATCCTCCAATTTTTGTATTAGTATGGAGAAGTATAAGATTTGGGATAAATGGATTAAGATTCTTGAAAGACCTTTATCATATATTTGACTGACACAAGTATTAAACCCAGGCTAAAATAGAAGTTATAATTTAGATTTGCGCTGTTCTAAATGTTTTTGTATGTCTTTATGTATATTTGTAACAAAGTATGATATGTGAGAATCGTTCTTTGTTTGAATATTTTTGTCTGTAATACATTGTATTTTTTATACTGTCATTGAAAAAAAAATGAAAATAAATTATAATTAAAAAAATAAATACAATTGCCATATAAAATAAAAAATGCATACCTACATTTTATTATATTCCACTTCATTACACTATGCTTGCGCTCCTCTTCATGCTGCTGACTAGGAGCTTTGGCCCTGGAGTGGGCGAGTCAGAGGCCAAGAATTATGGTGGAAGGCACCCAATGATGCAGCAGTACATGCAGCAGTATGGGTGTCAGGATGTCTGTCTGGAACAGGCAACAGTTGGAAAAGAAAAACCATGAAATCATATGAAGACAGGCATCAAATAGTTGAAGTAAAGGAAGGAAGTCAGGGAAGCCAGAGATATTAAACTAAGGCAGTAGGCAGCCAATGAGATTTCACTAGATTTCAGTTGAGGGGACTGAATTCCTTATATTAGGACACTGCCTTAAATCCCAATAATGCAAAAAGGAGATGTGGTGCTCTTGGCCCTGGTGTGGGACTGTAATCCTAATTACAGTTTTCAAGCCGTTACCTTTATCGAGCCATAATATACACAGCAACACACAGTGCTTAAGTACAAGTGTTATTAATTGGTGAGATACATAAGTATAAAAAAGAAAAACAGGTGCTTAGAATCAAACAGAAAGAGTTAGAGTTACCCTGGGTGTCTGTCTGTCTCCTTGGTTCAAGCCTATAGCCACTAAGTAAAAAGACGGTCAGATAACGAGGAATCAGAGCGTAATGACATTTTAAAAAAAGCTAAGCTAAGACCATATTAGATAGAAATCAGAGGGAAAACATGAAACTGAGTTTTTACTTATTCCAATAATAGCAACAGGAATCACCCCATATATTGCACAAAGTGATTACAGATAAGGGCAAATCGATTAAACAGAATATATGTAGTACATAATATATAATTATATAATTAAGGGCAGTTCACCATGACAAAGTGCATGAAAGTGTATGTATACCAACACATATTTCAAGACAAAGTATTAATCCCTTAAGGACGGAGGCAATTGTACATGTTCTGGTCAAAACAAAATGTTATTAAAACCTTTAACTTGGCTATATATGTGTTCAACCATAATTCACCTCTTTCATATTAAATGCACCCACACTTATTAAGTGTTCTTGCATAGCAAGACCACTTAATGTTATCTCACATATATATTAATAAGTGTTCTTGCATAGCAAGACCACTTAATGTTATCTCACATATATATTATTATTATTCTTATTCTTATTATAGCCAAATTTGCCACCCTAACTCCTCCCACAGTTTTTACACTACATACACAAAAATTTACCAAAACGTGCAGGATTGCTATTACTTTGTGGAACGTTTCGCCGAATGGTTCACGGAATATCGTTGTTCTTGTGGCGCAATTTGTCCCATAGGAATGAATGGCAAAGCTAGAGTGGGAGCTGGCAAAAGCTGAAAAATCAGGACATGATTTCTAAACTGATACCTCTCCCTTATTGTCAGGCCCACCTACACAAATCTTATATGAAAATGTTCAGCTATCCCTGCTGCCACTAGAAATGTCCACAGCTAAGCCATAGTCCTGATAGTTTTCACAATATAATCATTTGTTTGCAACTAACACCGTCCATTGACATTCATTGAAACTTCACTCTACAAAGCTCAAATTTGAAGTGCAATTTCTAAACTGCGACTGTGCCTTCATTTTTAATACTTCAGAGACATACTATGCATCAAGGTCTGGGTCTTGTGATTCTCACAATATAAAGCTCCTCGCTGTAGGATTGATAGTTTTTAAAATACGACCGTTTGAAGATGGCAACCGCCAAAATACTCTGACCTGTGCCAGGCTGCAGCAGCAAGTGATGTCATAGACAGGGCTTTTTGAACGCCTGCTAATGTTTTTATAAATGTATGGTTTAATGTAACTGTGCAACAACGTTGCAATTAAATGTGCTATATAAATGATAACAGTTACTCCGCCCACTCCAGTTGTAGACTACTGGTGGAGGCAAGAACACTTCACACAATTTCCCCAGAAATTGTAGCTTTTCTAGTTATATATAATTTTGTTCAGGAGAAACAGGGCTTTCATTAGGTGTTCTTGCATGGCAAGACCACTTACTATTATCTCACATATATATTATTCTTATTATGATAGCCAAATTTACCACCCTAACTCTTCCCAAAGTTTTTACACTACATAGACAGTAATATACCGAAACGTGCGGATTGTTCCAGATCGGTGTGCTATTACTTTGTGGAACATTTCACCGTATGGTTCACGAAATATCGTAGTTTTTGTGGCGAAATTGGTCCATTAGGAATGAATGGCGGAATGTTCAAAACTAGACTGGGAGCTGACAAAGGCTAGAGTGTGAGCTGAAAAATCAGGACATGATTTCTAAACTGCCACCACACCCTCATTTTCAAGCCCACCTACACAAATCTTATATCAAAACGTTCAGCTACCCCTGCTGCCACTAAAAATGTCCACGGCTAAGCCATAGTCCTGATAGTTTTCACAATATGACCATTTTTGCAGCTTACGCCGTCCATTGACATTCATTGAAACTCCACTCTAGCCACCTCAAATTTGAAGGGCAATTTCTAAACTGCGACTGTGCCTTCATTTTTAATAGTTCAGAGACATACTATGCATCAAAATGTAGGTCTGGGTCTTGTGATTCTCACAATATAAAGCTCTTCGCTTTTAAAACTACGAATGTTTGAAGATGGCAACCACCAGTGAAGTGAGCAATTTGAAGCAGTTTGTTTTTAACTGCTCTTCTCTGCCCTTGCTGTAGAGTGAGTTGCCATAGGAACCCATGTGTGTGAGCAGCCAGCAGAGCCACTCCAAATAGTTACTTTACTCACTCCAAACACTCCACACAGTTACTCTGCCCACTCCAACCTTTCCACAGTTACCCCTCGTGCTGGACCCACATACATGTCACTCCCCAATCACCACATATAACATGTACCCCACTATGTACACACAGTGATCCGGGCACTTATCGGCAGCAGCGGAGATCGGACCCACAGCTGCTTGCGCGCCCCCGCCCTCTCCTCCTTACTCCTGCTATGCGTGCCCTCTTCGCACTATAATTGTGAGCGCGCTCCAGGCCCGCTCTCACCAGTTTCCCAGTGCGCGCTCCAGACCCGCTCTCACCAGTCTCCCAGTGCGCGCTCTCAGACCGCTCTCACCAATCTCCCAGTGTGCGCTCTCGGCCCGCTCTCACCATTCCTCCAGCTGGGCACTCTTCACACGGTCCACTTCCTATTTCCTCACACTGGTCACCTTTCTCCCCCGGCCAGGTGGCGGTCTCAGTGTGAGTGAGTCCTCCCACAATAATAGCGACTGATTGTGCAAAGTGTAACACTGACTCACTGCTACATTTACATATTAGGAAAACAAATCACATGAGCTCCAATGCAGCCAAATGTTATTAGAGGCGAGATAATAACTGGGTGAGATTAACCAACACCTGTTGCCTGTAAGAAGGGAAGGTTATTTTTTTTCTTGTGTTTTGTGAATCATTACTTTTTGTGCATTTGTTGATGTTTCCTGAGAATCTCTGCATTTGTTAACACCGCGAGTAAATGACAGAGGGAGCACTCTATGACCACTTCAGACTTCGGGGTATAGGTTTAAATTAACTTTTTTACACTTGTCAGCGTTTTATTAATCGTTAGCTGTGTGAATATCATCATGCCATCTAAAGGAAAGAGATCTAAAGCTGCAAAGATACGCTGGACTAAACTGGACCTTTCAGACCCACGCTTTTCGGGATCCGGAGCCCCACATGCCCAGGAGGTACATAGTGAACCTGTGGTGTCATTCCTATGTTCAACTATGAGCACAGTGACAGTGTGATGGGCACTTCTGAAAACCATGGCATGCAAGAACCATGTGTACCAAGTGAGATATCTGTGCAGGCATCATTTCATCAGGGTCATCATGGCTATTCCCCAAATTCTCCAGCCTGTATCCTGCTGTCACTAGGAGGAATCCACATCTCTGCACACATTTATCTCCAGTCTCTCTGTTCTCCAGTGGGAGTTTCTAAAGATAACACTTGGGAGATATTACAGAAGAGTATATCCATCTGGATTTGGGACTCTTAAAGCAAACAGGAGGCCTCCCAGTCAAATCCATGGGTGAAATCAGTCCATGACCTTTTTTTTTTTCCAACATTGAGTTTTGTTCTGGGATCCCTATTTTTTAACTTTGATTTACATTACCAGGATTTTTTCTCACACAACTTAATTCCCCTATGTACAGTCTGTTGTTTTGCTGGACCATGTGGTTTATTCTGTGCAGAGGATTTTGAAACAGGCATTAATGTTTGTATTTTATAAATGTTCATTTAGGAACCATGGTGATGTGATATTTTGCACTTAAGCACTTTTTTTGCACTTTATAGTATAGTGGATAAGATATTTTTCATATATAAACATATGGTGTTCTCTTGTCTTTATATAAGATAGCTTACATTTGTCCGTGCATTTTTGCTAATAAATTTATATTCAGTTATATCTATTCTATTGAGTGCGGAATCATTTGGTATTTTTTGTATAATATTATTGAGGGTCTTTGGGACCCAGATACCTGCATCTATTGTGATTGAGTGCAAGTACAACTTGTGGTTTTTTCATCATGGCTATGGAAGGTTAAGTAACAAACAGTGTACATGCATGGCTCTGACATTTTTGGCATACCACAGTGAGCTTGATGATGTGAGGAAGGATGATCTTGATCAAATTCTGAAGAAGGGCAACACCTTGTATGGCACAACAATAAAACAGCTAAAACAAAGAAATGTCTATCAGCACCAACACTTGACAATGGAAGAAGTGCCCCTCAGAGTCAACACTGACAAATATGAGTATAATTTTGTTAAATCTCCAGTGTTATCGGGATGTGTGAGAGCCATGGTAGACGGTGACAACCAATGTTGGTTTGTTGACCTCTCCCCAAGATTTCAGTGCCTCAATACAGATGTTACACATGCACTTTTTATAGTAGTGCCATATTGCATTGCATTGTTCAGAGACAAGTCTGGGAGATATAGACTGTTTGATTCTCATAGTCGAAATAAGGATGGACTTCCTGCCACTGGAAAAGGAAAAGCTGTAATGATAACTTTTACACATTTGAGTTATATGGGGGCAAGGATTTATAAGTATGAATTGCTTCTTACAGACACCAGAGGCCCTATTGATGGACTGCAGTATCACTTCATGCCAGTGGCATTTCATCGTGCAAGACGTCTGTCAGATGGTTTGCTGTCCCCACCGGTGCAATCTGATAAACCACATAATAGAAGCATGTGGAGAACAAAGTGACACAGATGACCAAAGATGCAACACACACTGGATTCCCAGCCAGCAAGCATTCTCCACGGTCACTTGATGCAAAATCCTCACAGGGCATATGGAAGGACAGTAAGGCATTTTCCAAATTAAATATACAGCGACGACAAAAACTGAAGATAAGACACAGAAATGAAAGAAGGCATGGTTTCAAGGCTACAAAGATGTCTGTCACCAATAAGAAGAGGACATACATCACTAGCCGATACAGAGCAGATGCTGATTTTGAGTTGAAGCTGAAGCAATATATCATTCGCATATATGCGACAGATGCCAATTTCAACTTGAAGCAGAAGCAATATATCACCAGCAAGTATGCGACAGATGTTTATTTCAACTTGAAGCGGAAGCAATACACAACCAGCAAATATGCGACAGATGCCAATTTTAACTTGAAGAAGAAGCAATACATCACCAGGAAATATGCAACAGATGCAGGTTTCAAGTCAAAGCAGAAGCAATACACAACCGGCAAATATCATAATGAACGTCACTTGCAACATTGCATGAGTTACATGAAAACGAAGCGTCACACTCAAGCAGATTTTCGCATAACCCATAAGATGCAATGTACCTTCAAAATAATAATGAAATACAGACGATGGACTTGTGTCATGCGAGAATGCAGTCAACCAGTGGACAACCGCCTAATGCAGACAGCTATATCTACTTTCCATGAATGCATTAAAGCTGAGCCAACTTTTGTGTGCATGATGTGTCATCGCACCCTTTTCCCTAACCAAGTGAAACATTGCATTCACAGCAATTACAAGAAGAATTTACACATTGTTGTTGCCTGTTTGACAGGGAAATATGTCCATGTGGGCAACAATCACTGTCAAGGCCCTGAACAATGCACCGTACCAGATGAAAGGCCCAAAGAATGGATTTGTAACAACTGTGTTTCACATTTAAAAGCTGGACACAAATCATCCATCACTGTGGCTAACAACATGGAGCTGGCGCCCATTCCCCCAGAGCTCTGCGATTTGTATGTGCTGGAAAGACAACTTTTGGCCAAAATACTGCCATTTGCCAAGATCATCACACTTCCCAAAGGTAGACAGGCAGCTATACATGGCACTGTAGTGTGTGTGCCATCCGAGGTCAAAACCACGGCCAATACTCTACCAAGATCGCAGAGCACATCCCAATTACACAGAGTGAAGTTGAAAAGACGTCTGACTTACAAAGGCCACCAGCTGTTTCACAATGTCAACATGAGAAATGTAGTAGCAGGTCTGTCAAAACTCGATGATAATGATGATGGGATGGAACTCGACAGTTGTGATGAAACTAAAATGATGGAGATACATGAACGCATCCAAAAAAAATTGTGATCCATCAGAGGTACAGTCTGCAGGTATACCGGCTGCTTCTAAGCAACAGGAAGGCCATGACAAACAACCTCCCAATGCAGAGGATGAGAAGGATGCACTAGGACCTTAAATTGGCCTAGACAGTTGTTTGCAGCCATCTGACCTTGGAGAGGAAGCACTGACACACGGTGATGGAATATTCAGCATTGCACCTGCACAAGGAAACACACCTGTCAGCTTCTTTAAAGTTCCTAGGCTTGAGGCAATGGCTTTTCCCTGTTCAGTTCCATAAAGGACAGAATACATTGGACCAGGCAAGACAAGTTAAACTGTCCCCGAGCATGTATTTCAATGCAAGGCCTTTTTGTGTTGATACTCGTTTTGCAAGAAACACAAGCTACCTCTTCTTTGCACAGTTTGTCACAGAGACACACATGGCCAAAAGCAGCATGTCCATGCAGTTAAGGAAAGGAAAACCCAATACCAGGGATGGACGGAAAATATCTAACAAGTTGCTACAGGACAAGCGTGAGGTTAAGAGGTTGGTGCGAAACCGAGATGCCACAAGGTTTATGCAACCACTGAGAGGGAGTCCAGCTTACTAGGATAAAAATCTGAACAATTTGCTAGCCATGGTCAGACAACTGGGTAAGACAACTTTTTTTTACCCTCTCTGCTGCAGAATGTAGATGGCCAGAGGTAATCACGGCAATAAAGGCGCAACAAGGTCAAAAGGTGGATTTTGCAGAGCTAGACTGGGCTGAAAAGTGTTACATTCTTCGAGGCAACCCAGTGACCACCATGCGCATGTTTGACAAATGGGTTGATGCTCTGATGCGAGAGCTGCTGTTGGGTACTGCACAGCCAATCGGTGAAGTTATCAACTACTTTTACCGAGTTGAATTTCAGGCGAGAGGGAGCCCTCATATACATTGTCTCTGTTGGGTAGCAGGAGCTCCTATATTTGGACAAGACAGTGATGACAAGGTGTGTGCCTTTAACATAACATCTCATGCCAGCTGCCTGATGAAGCCAAACAGGCCTTACTTCACAGATTTGTAACAGAACTTCAAATGCACAGCAGATCTCATTTAAAATTGTGCAAGAAAGGTAACAGAGTATGCAGATTTGGATTTCCAAAGCCACCTGTTAGAAAAACAAGGATAACTTACCTGATGCCAGAAGAACAAGGAGATCGTGCAATGAAACCACAAGCAGCCAAAAACAAACTGAAACCAGTCTGGGATTTGCTTAATAACTCGAAAGTGCAGCTTGAAGACATGTCACAGCTACTGGCACAGTGTGATATGACTTTGAATCAGTACAACTCGTACATTGAGGCATTGATCTCCTCAAGCGTGATTCTAATGAAGCGTGATGTCAAGGACTGCTGGGTGAACAACTACAATCCACATTTGCTGACGGCCTGGAACGCCAACATGGACATCCAGTACATTCTTGATGAGTATGGTTGCATCATCTACATGTTGTCATACATATCCAAGCCAGAACGCGAGCTGAGTGACTATATCAAAACAATAGTCAAAGAAATGAGCCCAGAAACAGAGACAGAACGAGAAGAAATTAAATAAGTTCTTCAGGCTTATTCAAAACACAGAGAGGTCAGCGCCCAGGAGTCTGTGGCCCATACGTGCAGTCTGAAAATGAAGTCTTGCTCACATGAGGTTGTTTTTCTGCCAACTGGTGACAACGCACTGAAAATGAGTCTCCCGATTCTCTTAATGTGCGGATGACGAGTATTGTCGACAAACACAGAGCCAGACCCGAAACCCCAGAGTTTGAGTCCATGTGTCTGGCAGACTTTGCATCCCATTACAGGGTTGTCTATGGCAAGCAAAAGGAAGACGGCAAGCGTGTCAGCCTATTGAATGAAATGGGAATGATTAAAAAACGCACGAGAGGGAAGCCTGCAATCATCAGGTACGCACACCTCTCAGAGAAGAAGGACCCCGAGAACTACTATGGCAGACTGCTTAAACTCTACCTCCCCCACCATTCAGAGTCATCACTGAAAACTGAAAGGTTCCCAACACACCAGGATTTTTACAAAGCGCCTGTGTGAGCTTACCAGGAGAAGAAGCAATCCGAGCAGTGTCTGCAATTGTTACCAGCAACCAAAAGAAGTTCAAACAACACAACAAAATTATGGAACAAGTCTTGGATGACTTTCTAAAAAACGGCCCTGTTGAAGATCCTTGGAACACCTTTGCCCCAGAAGCTAAGTTGGATAGGTTGGAATGTATAGAGGAACGCAAAGAAGGGGAGCCACTTCATGAGAATGAACAAGATGATGTTCCAGAGAATACACATCACAAACAAACAGGTGGAATTGCGCTTACTGTGAAGGCCCCACAAATGTGCCCTGATTTCCTTCGGAAAAGGTACAGAAACCTTAACTGGACACAAGCTCAGACATTCTACTCAGTTTGTGACTGGTGCACTAACCATGTGCGTGACCTAAATCCTGACCCATTCTATTACTTTGTCACTGGTGGTGCTGGGACAGGCAAATCACACCTGATAAAGTGCATCTATGCTGAGGCGACAAAGATACTCTGTAAACTTACCAGACTACGTGAGGAAGCAGACATATCCACGCCCATCGTTTTACTAACTGCATTTACAGGAACAGCAGCTTTCAACATTTCAGGCAACACTTTGCATTCTCTGCTGAAGTTGCCAAGAAGCTTGAAGCCACCCTACCAAGGACTTGGAAATCACATGTATGAAGTGAGGGCACAGCTGTCAAATGCGGAGATCATTGTTATTGACGAGGTGTCAATGATGTTGCAGGGAGTTGTCTCCGCTGTGGGACTGTGCTAGGTTGTATGGAGTCAAAGGTCTCCCCAGGACTGGAGAGAGTTTCTGCAGTAGCAGTGCGAAATACTGCGAGCTCCACCACCTCCCCCTGCATTGCCTGTACTTGTCCCCTGAGTGTTTGTACTTCTTTACTGACCATCCCCATGTCAGTTGCCAGTATATGTTTCAGCTACTTCATGAGCACTTTTATGTCCCTTTTGGTGGAGGGAGTTTCATTCTCCTCATCTGAGGAAGCGTTATACAGGCTCACCGTGGGAAAGCTATCAGATGTGTCCAGCTCCCGCTCCTCTGAGGATGAGGGTTCCTCCGCTGGTGCGGTTGTAGGTCTCGGCAGGCCACGGGCCAGATAATCACCGATATCCTATCAGCTTGACTGTGTTGCTTGAGATATTTTTAAACTGGTGCAACCAATTACCTTCAGAAGTCACATAAATGATGTTCACCTGTGTGCAATCTAAGTGTCACATGATCTGTCATTACATATACACCTTTGTTGAAAGGCCCCAGAGGCTGCAACACCTAAGCAAGGGGTACCACTAACCAAACACTGCCATGAAGACCAAGGAACTCTCCAAACAAGTAAGGGACAATGTTGTTGAGAAGTACAAGTCAGGGTTAGGTTATAAAAAAATATCCAAATCTTTGATGATCCCCAGGAGCACCATCAAATCTATCATAACCAAATGTAAAGAACATGGCACAACAGCGAACCTGCCAAGAGATGGCCGGGCAAGGAGGGCATTAATCAGAGAGGCAGCACAGAGACCTAAGGTAACCCTGGAGGAGCTGCAGAGTTCCACAGCAGAGACTGGAGTATCTGCACATAGTACGCTCCATAGAGTTGGGCTTTATGACAGAGTGTCCAGAAGAAAGCAATTACTTTCAGCAAAAAACAAAATGCCACATTTTGAGTTTGCAAAAAGGCATGTGGGAGACTCCCAAAATGTATGGAGGAAGGTGCTCTGGTCTGATGAGACTAAAATTTTACTTTTCGGCCATCAAAGAAAATGCTATGTCTGGCGCAAACCCAGCACATCACATTACCCATAGAACACCATCCCCACAGTAAAACATAGTGGTGGCAGCATCATGCTGTGGGGATGTTTTTCAGCAGCCGGGACTAGGAAACTGGTCAGAGTTGAGGGAAAGATGGATGGTGCAAAATACAGGTATATTCTTGAGCAAAACCTGTACCACTCTGTGCGTGATTTGAGGCTGGGACGGAGGTTCACCTTCCAGCAGGACAATGACCCCAAACACACTGCTAAAGCAACATTTGAGTGGTTTAAGGGGAAACATGTAAATGTGTTGGAACGGCCTAGACAAAGCCCAGACCTCAATCAAAAAGAAAATCTGTGGTCAAACTTAAAGATTGCTGTTCACAAATGCAAACCATCCAACTTGAAGGAGCTGGAGCAGTTTTGCATGGAGGAATGGGTCAAAAATTCCGGTGGTAAGATGTGGCAAGCTCATAGAGACTTATCCAAAGCAACTTGGAGCTGTGATTGCCGCAAAAGGTGGCTCTACAAAGTATTGACTTTAGGGGGGTGAATAGTTATGCACATTGACCTTTTCTGTTATTTTGTCCTATTTGTTGTTTGCTTCACAATTAAAAAAACTAACAAAAAAACATCTTCAAAGTTGTGGGCATGCTCTGTAAATTAAATGATGCAAATTCTCAAACAATCCATGTTAATTCCAGGTTGTGAGGCAACAAAACACGAAAAAGGGATGAATCCTTTTGCAAGGCACTGTATCTGTACCTGTCCTGATTTGGGAATTAATATTCCTGTTTATTCAGCTAAGGCAGAGAATATAGCTATTACCTTTTTATCCCTGATAGTCTCTAGGATGATTTGGTGTGTTTTTTATTTAGTTAACTTCAGTCTACTGGGGATCCAATAGAGACTCTACCTTTTGAGCCAATGCAATAAAGCTCATTTTATCTAATGATTTCCTCTATTTGGACATAATCCCCATTCACTGAGTTGATACATATTTGCAGGCATAGCAGTTTATTTGTTAGTGTATCATATTTACCTAAGTTTTCTGCCTTCATCCTATAATTTTTGCATCAACATTATTTAGGACTACAGATATATCCAGGAAATACAGCGACTTTCATAAGATGTTTGTATGAGAGTCAATGTATTATTTCTCTTCCATGTATATTTATTTTAGGGTTAAGCCCTTAGAGACCCCTGGAGTCTCACTTAAGTGCCTAGGACTACTAGTTCTCACTTTGACACTTAAATCTTCTCTGAGTATCACAGTGGGGACCTTCTAGTTGTCCTATCCTGTTGTTCGTAATATCTTTCATATGTGTCTTTTTTACATTATATATTTCGATGTGCCCAATTATCTCCCAATCTCTGAGTATTACAACATTTCCACCTCAGTGAATTTATATTAGTGAGAGGTCTTTCCTGCCCCTACCTATAATATATATAGATATATATATATATATATATATTGTTTACATTACTTTCTTATCCCCTCATAAATCTCCTTATAAGGATATGAAACTTTTTCCATAATAGCTATCATCAAAAAACATCTGAACATATTTGTATCGTTTACATTCTCAATGAATTTAACCCCTTAGGGACGGAGGGCGTTCTATGCCGTCTTTTTTAGGGTGGCGCTAAACGCCGGAGGGCGTGATCCTGGGGTCTGCCTGGGGGCTCAGGCAGCCCCCCTCTGACCGATCTGGCCCTCCCGGGCCATGTGATCGCAGGGTCCTCCTGATCACATGGTCAAATAGCTGGTTTGTGCAGTGCCTGCAGGGTGACTGCTTGACCTCTCAGGCTGTCCCCCTAGAGCCAGTTAAAAAAGTTTTTTAAAGTGAAATAAAGTTACAAAACACTTTATAAATGAAATAAAAGAACTATGTAGTACTTTTATATGCACATACATAAACTATTAAGTGTATTTTAATATATATATTATTGTATATATATTAATATTAAAATACACTTAGAATGATGTTAAGTATATATATATATATATATATATATATTAAATAAAAATAGTCAATAGATTAATTGAAAAAAAAATTGAAAAAATTATATATTTTTTTCTTTAAATTATATACATGTGTAATTTCATTCTAATTATATTTTGATATTAATATGCATTTAAATCAAAATACATTTAGAATGACGTTATAAATACATATATGTATCTATGTATATGTATATATATATATATATATATCAAATATATATATATATATATTTTATATAAATATAATTTAAAAATTATTAATTTCTGTGGGAAAAACAAGTCTTATTGCTTGACTGATGTGCAGATTTTTGTTTAACATTGTATTAACTATATATATATATATATATATATATATGTATATATATTTGCATATATATTAAAATTCTACATATATATTTATATAATACTTTGACATAATTAAGTCATTTTATTAATCAAAATTTGAGGGACCTGCTTGACAACCCAAGCAGAAAGCCCTATATTTAAAGGGGCACTGTCATGGCCTAATCCATTTTTTTTAACCCCCCTCCCGACTCCACTACATTTAACCAACTCCCTAGTCACCCCAAAATACCCCTAAGGCCCCCAGATTACCTATTTTTTTATCTTTATTTTCTGCCCCAATCTATATTCAGGGCGCCGCCATCTTTGTGTGGGTAGAGGAAGTCCCTGTGGGACACGTCATCAGCCCAGACTAGATAGCGCTGTGAAATTCCAGCACATGTCCAGTGAAACACTTGGACATGCGAACGGGAATTTCATCTATTAATTCTTTCATCAGAAAGCTGAATGAATGAATAGAAAAATCAGACGAACAAACAAACACTGAATATCAGTGTTCGTTTGTTCAGTGTTCGTTTGTTCGTGCAGTTTATTACAAGGAGTGAGCTACCGGCGTGCAGCTCCCTCCTTGTAATATGTAAAGATGGAAGCGGCAGGGAGCAGTGCTTCCCACCACTTCCTAAGCCCCCCCGGTCCCCCACACTCTATGGGGGTCAATATGACCCCCATATTAGAATAAGGGAGATTAACATCTCCCCAATGCCCCTACTCGCTATACCGCGAGTAGGGGCATGTCCACTAAACAGTGAGCAGCCTGTTATGGCCTGTTATGGCTCCCACCCACTGTGTAGGGGTGGGGGCCGGTGGGGGGAGGACAGTAGGTTCCCCCCCTCATTATCTTTTTGGCCCCCACCCACCACGCAGGGTTGGGGGCCAAGGGGGAGGACAGTAGGTCCCCCACCTTATTGTAATTTATGTCCCCCACCCACCGCACAGGGGTGGGGTCCGGGGGGGAGGACAGTAGGTGATAGGAAGCATCACGGGAACACTGAGGAAAGGTAAGAATTATGGGAAAATTGCTCTGACCAGCGTAATTGAAGCACACTTTGCTCCTCCGCTGGTCAAAGCTGGTCAAGCGGAGGAAACCTCCATAAGGCAAAGAGTCCCTACGATTCCCTATGATTTTAAAGAAAACTAAAGAAGACAGGAAGAAAAGAAGAACAGATCCTGAGAGAGGGGGAGAAGAGGAAGAGATTGAGGAAAGTTAAGTTCGGCATGACAGTGCCGCTTTAACTCTGTAACATTCCAAGACATCAACAAACCTGTACATGGGGGGGGTTCCTGTTTTACTTGGGATACTCTACTGTACAGAAATATTGGTGGTTCAAAACAGTTTAACATAATCACAAGGATGATATTGTCAGTGAACGTGCCTTTTTTTGCATTTTTCACATACAAATGGCACTTTCACTGACGATATAACTGTTGTGATACGTTTTGCTTTTTTGAAACACTAATATTTGTGTTCAGTGAAGTCTCTTGAGTAAAACAGGCTTGCATTGAGTAAAACAGGCTTGCATTTCTTTTTTTTCACATTTGGTTATGTTGCCTTTGAGACCGTATGGTAGCCCAGGAATTAGAATTACCCCCATGATGACATACCATTTGCAAAAGAAGACAACCCAAGGTATTGCAAATGGAGTATGTCCATTCTT